AAGATCAAAAAGACTTTTTGGCTGGATATAAGATTTTAAAACATGGTAAGATGGACAGTTTTTGCAGTGTACAAAACACTGAGGTTTTTTTTGTCTTTGGCAAATTATCCAAAAGATGACACATTTTCWAGATCTTCTTTTCAGGCTTAAAAAAATAATGTTACAAAATGTTATAGCCTAACACTATAAAAGCTACTCTAAGGTTTAAAGTTTTGCATGCCATAATTTAAGATGTTTAAAATGTTATGATTTAAGAAAAACAAAACCACAGAAAACAATCGTTTGTTTCTTTTATTGCTTGACCTTTGAAAGGGAAAAACCACCTGCAGTCCCAGTTTAAACTGACTTCTTCTTGAAGGATCCCTCCTGTGAAGTGTGTCCATCAGAGGAGAGCCCGCCCCTCCTTCATGCTGACTCCCCCCTTCAGCTCCGGCCAGCAGCGGCGCCTCTTCAGGAAGGAGAGGTCGGATTAAAAGCCCCCAATTTTTTTTTTTTTTTTTCTGTCACGTTCCAAAGAGTTCCGAAGCTCCGGGACACCGTCTATTCATGGCTGCACCCAAACCCTGACCGTGGAAGCCGCTTTTTTTTTTTGTTTGATCCGCTTAACTTTTATATCTGCACAAGCATTTTGGTTTCTTTTAAAGCTGTCACGTTTTCATGGGTGGAGATCTTCTTTTGTAGCGTTTCTCCCCCTCCACTTCTTTTAAACTCTGCCAGGATGCAGTTCCGGACTGTCCTTGACGTGAATGTGGTGAACGTGCAGAAGAGGAGGAATCCCTCCAAACATTATGTAAGTAGGTCTTCTGTTCGGCAAGATTTTAAAGCCATGCGCAAAACTGATCCCTGTTTGAGTGAGCCATCACTTTGTCTAACCTTCTAGAACGGTAGGTGTCTAAATGAGTGGCCCGCGGGCTATTTGTGGCCCCCAGAGTGATTTTGTGTAAMCCCCCCTGACTGCAATTTAAGAACATGATTTTGTTCCAAATGCATAAGAGATGGATGCAGATGGGGATCTTTCACAAATCTTAAAGGGGCAATATCATGTAAAATTAACTTTTTGGAGTTTTATATTATGTTATAATGTTATACTCTTGTTAAAAACATGCCCAAAGCCTTGCTTTGACTCATTCATGCATGTTTGAGAAATCCTTTAGTGTTTTTAGGCAGCCATCCTGAGGAGCAAAACGACAGGTGAGGACTAGAAGCCTTTTGGGACCAGAAACGCCCATGGGGCGTGTCTTTAAGCCGAACTTCCTCATGGCGGAGCCAAAGGCCAATGTTATGTGTTTCTCAGGCATGTAGTTCAGTGCTATACCAAAATCAAGTAACTATGTCACCTTCAGGGTTTTTATCTATAAATCAAAAATAAATTTGACTTTGCATCATAGCCGTTTCTAAACACCTTGAACTTGGCCTCTGCTCTTAAAGAACATCATTCGTCATGCCCATTTCTGCACGTCATCACAACAGCTTCATGCCGTTTACAACCTGTAGCGTTGCAGAATATTTTGTTGAAATAATAATTTTTAAAAAGCAGCAACATTATACAATATCTGTTTAGGAAAATGGCAACTCCAATTTAACTTTACTGTTGGACCAGAAAGTATGTTTTCTGAAGAACCGGAGTCAGTAGAGAGGCAACGTTTCAGCTTGGTAAGATATCTCCCAGTCATCCTCACATACACATGTTAGTGCAAAGCAGATGTATTTATTTATTTATTAATATGGTGTGAGTCAGCTAAAGAACACAGACCGTAATAAATTTACGAATGCTAATCAGAGATAGACCGAACAACAACGATGCAAACAAAACAAAGTGAGTTGTTTTGCAGCTTACYAGATAAGTGTTCGCGTACCTCTGAGTGTTGGATTTGCATCGTCTTTTAGTAATAATCTTGTTATTCCACTGTTAAATTCCCTTTTATTCAAAAAACTATCACCTGTAAAGTGGCTCGCACAAATATAAAAGTAAAAAAAAAAAACAATTTTGTCTGAGGGTTACTTCCAAAAATAAAATAAAACCATTCCTTTAGAACCGTGCCATCCTTGGCATCCAAAAATACATTTCCTCAAAGGCATTTTTTAATCTGAAAAGGACTGGACTGAGAAGWGTTACAAGCTCAGCAGACTTGYGGTTTCACCAGGTATTTGTTTGCAAATTGTTGCTGCTGATAGCCTGCTGGAGTCATGGGGGAGATTCGCTCTATGATGCAGAAGCTTGGCTTGGAGACCACAGCCCAGAGGACGAGCTGCACCTAAAAGACGGTTCTAGGGCCAACCAGTCGTTTTTGTTTTCCTGAATGGCTGCCTCAGGACAGTACAGGATTTCTTTAACATGAATAAAAAAGTTAAAGCAATGCTCTGTGTWTGTTTTTRATGAAGAATCTGAAGTATTTTCATCTGAATCCTGAGAGCCAGCTGTCGGTTCAGGTTCATACTGGCATTGTTATTTATATCTTTTACTCCCACAGTGTTCTGGCATTTCTTCAGATTCAAAAAAAAAAAAGTCTTCTGCTTCCATTTTAAATGATAAACAGGAGGACAGTAACCAGGTTTGTACTGTAGGTTGTTCACCGTTGTTTGGAAGGTAGCGGTGGTACAATATGTGTCATTTCCTGTGAGGGGAACCCCGCCCCTAAAATAACTACACTTACGCATTTAGAGATTTAAAAAAATGCAAAATTTTCAAGTAATAGGCTTGAAAAAAGGATACCTAGGATGTTTTATGTATGTGGTTTACTAAATGACACTCAGGTTATATAAATCTTTGGAGATTTGATTTCATTTCTTCTTTAACATTATAAAATAAAGCTCAAAAAGTTGATTTTACAAGATACAGCGGGAAAAATAAGTATCGAACACGTCACCATTTTTCTCAGTAAATATATTACTAGAGGTGCTAATGACATGWAATTTTCACCAGATGTTGGTAACAACCCAAGTGATCCATACATACAAAGAAATCAAACCATAAATGTCCAGAAATGAAGTTATTTGTAATAATGTGGAATGGCACAGGGAAAAAGTATTGAACACACTTACTGAAATTTATCTAATACTTTGTACAAAAGCCTTTGTTGTCAATGACAGCTTCAAGACGCCTCCTGTATGGAGAAACTAGTGGCATGCATTGCTCAGGTGTGATTTTGGCCCATTCTTCCACAAACAGTCTTCAAATCTTGAAGGTTTCGTGGACCTCTTCTATGAACTCTGATCTTTAGTTCTTTCCATAGATTTTCTGTTGGATTCAGGTCATGTGATTGGCTGGGCCATTCCAGCAGCTTTAGTTTCTTTCTCTGAAACCAACTGAGAGTTTCCTTGGCTTTGTGTTTGGGCTCATTGTCTTGCTGAAATGTCCAGCCACGTTTCATCTTCATCATCCTGGTAGATGGAAGCAGATTTTTATCAAGAATGTCTCTGTACATTTTTCCATTCATCCTTCCTTCAATTATTTGAAGTTTGCCAGTACCATATGCTGAAAAACAGCCCCACACCATGATGTTCCCACCTCCAAACTTCACTGTTGGTATGGTGTTTTTGGGCTGATGTGCAGTGCCRTTTGACCTCCAAACATGATGTGTATTCTGGCATCCAAACAGTTCAATGTTGGTCTCATCTGACCAGACTATATTCTCCCAGTATTACACAGGCTTGTTTAAATGTTGTGCAGCAAACTTTAAAGGAGCTTCAACATGCTGTTTCTTCAGCAGTGGAGTATTGTGTGGTGAGCGTGCATACAGGCCATGGTGGTTCAGTGCATTACTTATTGTTTTCTTTGAAACAATCGTACCTGCTAATTCCAGGTCTTTCTGAAGCTCTCCACAAGTGGTCCTTGGCTCTTGGACAACTCTTCTGATAATTCTTTTCACTCCTCTGTCAGAAATCTTGTGAGGAGCACCTGGTCGTGGTCGGTTTATGGTGAAATAATGTTCTTTCCACTTCTGAATTATGGCACCAACAGTGCTCACTGGAACCTTCAGAAGTTTAGACATTCTTCTGTAACCGATGCCATCATTATGCTTTGCAACAATAAGGTTGTGAAGGTCTTGAGAGAGCTCTTTACTTTTACCCATCATCAGATGGTTCTTGTGTGATACCTGGCCATCATTTGGGACTGAACCAGCTGATATTAACTTGCACTGACAAGGGGCAGGCTTGCTTTCTAATTACTGAGAGAGTTCAGCTGGTGCCTTGGCTTTCCATGCCTTTTTACACCTCCCTTTCTTCATGTGTTCAATACTTTTTCTCTGTGCCATTCCACATTATTACAAATAACTTCATTTCTGGACATTTATGGTTTGATTTCTTTGTATGTATGGATCACTTGGGTTGTTACCAACATCTGGTGGAAATTTCATGTCATTAGCACCTCTAATTTACTGAGAAAAATGTTGACATGTTAAATACTTATTTTACCCACTGTGTGGGTGATGCAATACAATACAAGCAAACATTTACTGAGTTTTATCAAAACATAGACATTTATGTAACCAACCAAACTTGGCTAATATGCCAAAAAGAAAAAAAATCAAAATAGAAAATGGCTCTTAGTTTTATTATTGATAAAGAAAACTTGGTCTTTAATACATATTACGGAGCAGGTAACACTGTATAAAACCCAAATTTCTATGACTTCACTTTAGAAACACTTTTTAGTGCTTTAGGCAGTCCAAAAGAGTCTTCTGTGCCAACAAAATTTTATATTCAAGAGACTATTGCTAGTTCACACAATCTCTTTTTATTGACTCTTTTTAAATAAAAAAAAAAGTGACTCACATTATGTATTTTTTTCTCAAAAATATACTTTGTACAAGAAAACAAAACAAAACAAAACAAACATTAGACCCAACAAATAGAAGAAATTAATTTTTTATAAGGTCAAATAAAATGAGATATTTGTTTCAGATCTATATCTTAGAAGTCCTCTTTTACCAAACATATTTTTTTGAGCTTTCACTAAAATATTAAATATTTTAACAAGAAATTCCAGATTTTTTTGTATATATTGCATTTCTGTTTCCACCATACTTGGGAACCTAAAAGCTATATATTGTTAATGTAGTTTAAGTTAAAGAGGAGGTATTGTGCAATATTGAATTTAGATGGTAATTTCAGGGTGTTTAGATAGGCTATGATGTTAAATCAAATATATTTTTGATATATACAACATTTTCAACATCTGAAAGCAACATAGTTACTTGATTGTTGAATAGAATTTAACTATGTGCCTGAAAAATACATAAAACCTCCCTTTTAACACATTTAGAAACATACAGCTCAGAAATAAAATCTTTTAAACAAAAAGGGGTGGGGCTATTGCGCTTGCTTTAAAGAGATTGYTTACATTGCAGTAATAGTTTTCCTATGTTATGCAGTCCTCTGCTGACAGACTGTGAAAGGTTCCTCCCTCCTTATTTGCATGTTCGAACAAAAAGACACATTACGCCTTACAGCCACCGATGTCATTTAAGTTTTAGATACCGGTATATTTGAAAAGTCAAAAAGGTCAAATGTGGCTTAAAGCAAATCTATAATTAGAATTAGAGAGTGATATTTTTTGTTTTGTTTTTTGAGGATTAATTTATTGAATTTAAACTTTAGGTGTCTGTAAATGCCTTTAAACAACAGTAAGTCTTCTGGTCAGTGCCGTTTATAAAATTAACTGTTTTAAATATACATGATAGAGATGAAGAGAAAGAGAGAGTGATTCTAATTACATTTTGTAAAAGTCCTCCAAAAATGTTAGAGAACAGCTTTGGTTTGTGTGTTTTTTTTTAAAATAAGTCTAAA